TGTTACGTGGTTGTGCTGATATTGTGCGCCGTTGTCAGTCCTTGCCTTGGCTTCGCGGTGTACTTTGTGAGTGAGGGGGGAAGACAAGAACACGGAATAATGAGGTGAGAGCCAATGTCCGAGTCGAGTCTTATTACTTCATGTTCTCTTCTGTGGTATAGATAATACAGCGTAAATCCTCACAGCTTGTGTCGCTTCGCACCGCTCGCAAGCTTTGCAAACTCCTCCTGAGGTACACCCGTCATGAATCTCTCCAGCCCAGCAAATACCTCATGGACATTCTGTGTATGCAGAATATCCAACTCAGGCTTCCTGATCAGCTTCTTAATTCCGATTAAGCTGTCCCCAATAAGGTGGTCACCCAGCCTCTCGTCAACCTCTTGCATCACTCTAGCCCTGAACTTGACATCATCTCCCTCGTCGAAGATGGCATTGACAAATCCACAGCGCTCGAGGTCCTGAGATCCAATGCGGCGACTCATGAGCAATGCTTCGTTCGCTCGTGCAGGTCCGAGACGCAGTGCGAGTGCTCGTGATGCACCACCCTCGGCAACAAGGCCAATGGATGAGAAAGGTGTGAGGAGGAAAGTCGATGGTGCGCAGTAAATAAAGTCAGCAAACGCAATCAGCGCAGCTGTAAGGCCTACAACAGGGCCATTGAGGCCTACGACGAGAACCTTGGGATGAGTTGCAAAGGCATGGGTTATGTTGAGGTTTTGAGCGACAAAGCCCTGCAAGACTTGCTTATGGACTGCTTTCCCATCTCCGGCTATCTCTCGAGATACTCCCACGTCAGCTCCTCTGCGAACAGTTAGTTATGTCCATGCTTATATTAGTTGTCCCTCATTTGAAAGATGCTGTGGACTGCATTCATGGACAGGATTCTATATAGAGGTTCTCACGCTGAAAAGTATCTACCCTTTGCCAGGATCACCGTAATGAAGACCTCGTCGTGGGTAGCAATCTCTCGCATCTTCTGAGCGAGATCATAGTATTGTGCTGAGTTGAAGGCGTTGAGTTTTCGTTCATTGCAAATGGTTAGAATGGCTACACGGCCACGATATTCGAGTTGCAGGGTAGACTCTTCTGCCATGATGAAAGCTGTAGTATAAACGATCTAATGGAGGGTATTCGAAATGACGCGACCGATGAACGGAGGAGAAGAGACTTGTAAGATTAATGATGAAAAGAATAACCAGGAGAAGTCGAGTTGACTTCTTGTATTTTACTTTACGTACTTACATGGGTGATTGAATTACCCCGGATCTTGTCTCCTCACTCGGTTGGCGTACCGAGATGCCTCGGCATAAGAGGCGGAGATGTTGCTAGAGCCAGGTTTACAGTGGAAGATCGATCACTATAGCACGAGTTCTTTGCTGGCTCGACTGTGAAATAGATGGTAGAAAGAAGATCGATAACTAATTTGCATAATGCTTGAGTTATTACACAGCATTCATCAAGCTCTAAATACCTTGTATTTGCTGTCTACAACTCAAGAGCATGCTGAATTATCACGGACCAATCACGAAACAGCTACAAGTATCTCGATTAAAGAAGTATATATAACGTGTTTAAATAATTCATTCGAGCTACGCCCGTTATCTTGGTAGGCACTGAATTACTGAAGCCCAAGTAAGGTACATTGACATCTCCGGTCCATCCGCAAAACTCCTTTGCCGAAAGATTCAGCATGCAATTTCTTTTCAATCATCACAATAACCACCCGCTCACACTGTCCCTTCACACTCTTCCCCTTAATCATCTTCTTCACACCTGCGGGCGCCTCCGGCACGCCATTCCTATCGGCGTTTCGGGGCAAATTGCCTCTGCTTGGGGAAGCTCAATGGCAGCGTTAGACGGGCTACGCTGACCTGTTGTTTCGTATCCTTATTTATAACATGCTTCATACGACCGCCAATCTCCTGGAAGTAGGCATTCATGGTCTTCTGGTCAATCTTCAGATCGTCACGTAGGTTCTGTGTGTCAACCTCAAAGTTGTCGATGATGCTTGCGAAAACACAGCAATGTGTTATCAGCAGATCCACGTGGAACTTGCGCATCTCGCCACGGTCGGAGAACTTGCGGCGAATGCTCTCAATCACAGCCTCGGGTGCAGGAGCAAGGAACTCTCTAAGTTTGTCCCGAGGCGCGATAGTTCGGGTGCCACGGGCCTTGCCAGGCTTGCTGTGAAGGTAGAAAAGAAGCACGAAGTAGAAGTAACGTAGTACACGCAGTCGATCGACGGCCTCTTCGTTGCCTGCCACGCGGTTCACCCGAGCGGCAACAAAGCGTGACGGTACTTGAATGTTCTCCTTGTGTTGTACCTTTTCTTGCCATTCTCGAACGGGGACCAGCTTGAGGATGTCGGCTCCGATGATCTTCTTGGGATCGTAAACGTCTTGAATCTCGGTCGCTTCCATGTTGGCAATGGGCACAGGCTTGGCGGCATCCACAACCGCTTGTAACTCCTCTCTCGATGACATGGTCGATGTGACTTCTCCGACAGAGTTGAGCATAGCACGTGCTGCTGCATCAATCTTGGCAGGCTCCTCCCCGGCATTCTTTTGCGGTGCGATAGCGTTCAAGACGTTCTCTTGGATGGCCTTCTTGGCCTTTTTGGTACCAAATGTCTGGCCGAGGTCGGTCTTGAGCTGTAGCATGGTCTGTGTTTGGTTAAAATGTTGCTCTTCTAGAGTAGATGGATGTAGGCGTACCTGGGTGTTATCGCGCTGACTAGAAGTAGCAGCGGCGCCCTGCCTTGCTCGTACTGAAGCTCGCATTGTCATCTTCTTTGCCTCAACCACCTCAAGTTTTCCTGTCTTGGGGTCGTAGATTCCGAGGAAGTGATTTAATGCTGACTTTTTCCCTCTTGGCTCGTCCGATTTGACCGTGTAGTCCATAGATCGATGCGCATTCGAGTGCAGCAGGAAATCTTTTTCGGCTGCCGATTCAGGCTGTTTGCTTTTTGACTTGGCGCCATTCTTGGGCGCATAAGAGTGAAAGGGAATGTTCTTTGGCACTTGAAAACCAACAGCCGTCGCTATTTGAGATCAGTCAACATCTGTCGCATCGCGCCCAAGCAGAGGTGGTGGTTGGTACCTATTACAGGAGGGCAGAACTTGGGTCTGAGGACAGAAGAGACGGTCGCTGATGAAGGAGGCGCATCAATAATGACCTTCTTCTTCGGCTTCGTAGACTCTCCGCTTCTCTTGCGCTTTTCACTCCCCATTTTGAATGGCCGATTCTCGATTTCGTATGTAATCTTGAGTACAGGTACTGTTGATACAGACAAGGTCTTAGAAATTTTTTGACTCTCAGCGGCAGAAAGAGAGGGTCCGCCGTTTAGCCGGCCCGACAGGGAAGGCGGTGAGGGACGAGAACATACCTCGCATTTGTATCGAGATATGTGGAAGAATTGAGTTCGGGATTCAATATATGAGAGCCATATGGAAGAGCTGTAGAATAGCGATTCAATATACTATAGTATGCAGTTCAATTGATGGTTGATGCGGTTCGCTGAGCTCCAGCATCTCCAAATTTCCATATCTTCAGCATTCCATGTCTGCCACCCACCAAGTAGGTATGTACCTACCTGGTAGCTCCACAGAGGTTTAGCGCTAGGCACTCTGTTTGTGACGTTGGAGCTGAATGCGACAGAGCGTCACGCACAACCATATCATCAATTTTAAAATTAGAGAACGGCGAAATCAATCGCATCTGAAAGGACTTGGATTACGATATTATGGGTAGAGCAATTGGCGTAAGACCGCGGGACTTCCAGGAGTTGGTCGACAGCTACCGCGCGACATAACCTGGTCGACCTCCAGCTGGAAGCTAATTGGTGTCACGAGGGCACAAGCACGAAGCACAAATTGTCAGAGGAATACTCTGTATTTCTTTGTCTTAGAACTGCCATTCAAGTTCTGGTTGCATCGTCTTTTGCGAGCATGACTGATGGTCTTTGATCCTAACACCGCCTGGTTCCCGACCGTCCAATTGTCATAATCCCCATCCCCGTAATGTTCATTGTGTGCACAACAGCCGCTCAAGTGCGGGGTTCCACCACCGTGACGTAGTTCCCAAAGTCAAATCCCAGCTCATAACGTCGCGGGACATCCAAGAGGTGTCAAGGTAGCGTGCGCAGCTTCGGCCAGAGTATCGTTGTGCGTGTGAAGTCGTAACATTATGAGAGATGAGTTAAGTCAGGTTGAGGTGCGAGGTGTTTATTTGCTGTGAAAACGATTAGCGATTGTCGACATGTCGACGACAGCGATGCAACTTACGATCTGGCCCTCATCTTTCTTCTCTTGCGCTTGAGGCGGCGAACCCGCTTCTTCCTCCATTTGGCTCTCATCTTGATTGACGATGCTGTTAGAAGACGTTAGCAACTGTGGCGCGAATGCGAAATGTCGTCCACAAGACAAGTAGCTTGCAGTGGCATGAGCTCAAGCTCTATGCCTGCAAACTACAAGCTGTAGGCCAGGGTCGGGTCGCGTAAACTTACTCTTTCGTGGATGAGAATCGTGTTGGGATAAGGAACAAACTTCTGAAGCTTGGAGGCCAGAATTACGATTTTGTGTATGCAGCCCCATTCACAGCACGTGACTGAACCCCATCGTTCCTTCTATCTCACGGTTGGAAGGCAGGCCCCACCAAAAAGTTGGGTGGGCGACGACCTGAGTGCCAATAGAGTGGGGCACTGTCCTGCACATACAGTGCCAGTGCCAGCCCAGGCCGACGATTGAAGCAGAAAGCAAGGAAGGAAGGAGGCAAGGAACGGTTGCAATTGTTCAACTGCGACAATAGGAATTGCAACCGACGAGAAAATTAGCCACTAATTGAAGAATTTCCACTACTTTACTCAACCACCATCGCCATCTAAGCCAACGATTTCGTGATCTTGCTACACAAATCTTACTATACCAACTAACCCAGCGAAGAAAGCACTTACACTACCCGTCTGAGCAGATGAACCAGATTTAAAATCTTTGAGCCTCAATATGGAAGAGGATACCACTCGCGCGTCGCAAGAAAGTCCAGCCGCATATCTTCATCTAGTAGATGCCAGAAGCGAACACCAATCTCAGCGTACGCTCTTCCTGCCCTACCCTGCCCTACCCTGCCCTCGAGATCTCATATGGTCTTCACCTCTTCTGGTTCTTTCTAATCCTCTTCTCAGAACTGTTTCCTGTGTGGGAACGAGAAATCTTCAAGATCGGGCGAGACCCGCGTGCAAAGTGAGCATTTACCCATATGGAACGCATGTCACACAAGCTCACGCATACAGCACGTTGGCTGTTGATAATGACCTCGACTTCGCAGTTTCTCGAAACCACTGTGAAGTGTACGTTGTGGTGTATGAGCCAACTATCAACCATGTCTACGTGCGGGACCGAAAGTCTTCAAACGGCACCTTTGTCAACGGCCAACTCATTGGTTCTGGTCCGGATATAAGCCCGGGCTACCTACTACAGAGCGGCGATGTGATCGAAATTCGACCTTACTAGAAGTTTACAGTCTTACAAGATCAGCCACCTCCTCGCCATGAGTTAACTTCCTTACAACTGGAGGAATGCAAGGTTGGCCTGAATGATCCCTCTGACCGACTGGGGTCTGGAACTAACTGCCCTAGTTGTTCGCAAACAAGTATCACGTTAGTAGCCATTGCCTAGGGCAAGGAGCGGAAGCAGTCGTCTGCCTGGCAAACGATGCCCAGACGAAGAAGCAATTAGTTTGCAAGTTGATCAATCTCGACAAGATTCAAGGAAAGAATTCCCAAGAGGATATCCGCCGCAAGTTTCAGGAAGCCGACATCTTGCGCCAGCTGAGACATGTAAGTCGACTTGCGCTGGTATTGTGAGTCTTGCTAACCTGCAATAGCCCAACATCCTTCCTTACGTGGATGCTATCTCATCACCACACTCACTGTAAGTGAGACTTAGATGCTTGTGGAAACATGAACTGATGGTCCTAGCTATACCTTTACAGAGCTTGCATCGGGTGGTGATCTCATGTCATTCATCCTGCGCCATGGCACGGTCAAGGAACTCGACTCACGGATAATTATACGTCAAGTTGTCCGTGGTCTTGGCTATCTCCACGAGAAAGATATTGTTCACCGTGATCTCAAACCAGAGAATATCCTCCTGGCGTACTCGCCTAAGATTGCGTATCATCGAGTCATGCTTTCAGACTTTGGCAATTCTGCTGTGCCTCGGCGCAGCAGAATGATCACAAATGCTGGGACACCAGGATACCAAGCGCCGTACGTCACAGAGTTTGGACTCAAGCCACTTGCTAATGAGACTAATAGGGAGTTTGCAGCGGGTGGGCAAGCTCACACTGCAGCTGTCGACATCTGGTCCTTGGGTGTTGTTGCACTGCTCCTCCTTGCATCTGATAACCATGACACAGAGCTCAACAAGATGGAACAAGGAGACATAATCGAATATCTCGCTCAATTATTCAATGGAATGCAGACAAAACCCTCTCTCGAAGGGATTGAATTCGTCTGGAACTGTCTGAAAGTCGACCCATTACAGAGAATCAATGCTTATGGTGCGAAGACGCATGCATGGCTTTGTCCTCCGAAGAAGAATCGGGAATTGTTCAAACGAATGGATTGTCGAACACTGGCTTCTTGGAAACCTCAAGATAAGCTCAAACCGATGCCTTGGGTGTTACCTGATCTTGCCCCAAGCAATCCACCAACACCTACAAGAAGCCCAGGCTCATCGATCAGCCAATACTTTACGACGACACCTACGCGCTTTGAAATTACGACCAAAAAGACTAGAGACCGCGTTCTGGAGATAGCCACAGAATCTGACACAGGAACTGCCACTAGTAAGACTACGTCTTTCTCGGTGCCACCGCGTCCATGCGGAACTCCGAGAGAGTCTGCGACAAATCTCAAGAAGCCTCAACCTCCTTGGCAAGGGTTTCGTAATCCTATCGGTTCAGCGAACACTGAATTCCCATCAAAACGCAGGAGAGTCCCAAGAGCCAGGACTCATGATACTGCGAGTGTTCCCCTCCCTGGGTTAGAGAGGCACTTAAGATCACCTAACAATCCTAATCCTCGTTATAGGCAAAACGTTCTTTCGGCTCTCGAGAGGACGAAATCAAAGTTCCTTACAGACAGCACCTCTCCTGTTTCGAGAACTCCTCTAGATGCTCTCACTGCCAATGGATTAGTTCCACCACCAAGTCCTAAGAAACGGAAGAGCAAGCGTGATGTGAGGCCAAAGGAATCGGGCGAAGCCAATATGCGGCACCCACCTCAGCTCACATTCCGCTGAAGATGGTCAAGAAATGGTGGAAAATGAAGGGATATGGTTGGGTCTGTGGAGTTACTTTGGTGCCTCACTTCTTTCTTCTATGCGAATTTCATGGGAAAGGAAACATCGGGAATCACAACTTCACTCAAGTGCATCAACTACACAACTGAGAGAAACGGGGTTCATATATTTGGGCGGATGGGATTGCGGCTTCTGACTGGGAACTTGCCTATGACCACAGATGGCACTGGATCTTTTGATTGATGCCGGGGGAAGGTTGACATGGGATAGATGGGGATAATTACCAAGAATAAATGCATGAATGCCGCCCTTTTCGCTTTACTGTGCACTTATCTTTCTTTTGGCAGATCCTTTCAACAAGTCTTGCCACTTTTGGGGCATCTCCTCTTCTTCACCACCGTTATTACTTGGGTTACTATCGACCTCATGCCACACGGGCAAAGCCTGGACGCCCTCTGCCTGACCCTTATTCGTCAGCCTCTCCAACCACCACTCTAGTTCCACCTGTTCATTATCACCGCTTTCTTGGCCCCCGGGAAACCGCCAACACACTGCAATAGGATGCTTAGAGTCCTTGACTAGACAGAGGTCTCCATGGCGTCTGCATCGCTCGCAGGCGGGTGAATAGTTCATGTTTCGTGAGCACCGTTTCCTTTTGACTTGACACTGAAGACAAACAAACATCCCCGTATTCCTCACAGGAATGAGAGGACGCAGGCGGCAAAAGGCGTTGACGAGGCTCACTGGAAACCCTTCCACGTACCTTGGAGGATCTCCCCGCACGTCTTCGAGCACGAACTTGGAGAGTTGATATCTCTGGATGCGGTCCTCAAGAGTTTTGATCCGCTTTCTATGGTCCTCTATTGTCTCTCCTATTGCACGGTCAAGAACGGAGCCTGTGGTTTCTTTATCAATCACGCCATTGACGAAAGCCTCGACGTCTTCTCTAGAAGGAATTTCATCCTCATACTCATTTTGGTCCCACTCGTCTTTTGATGCCTCTTCCCCCTCCAACTCTTCGTCCAACTCCTCCAATTCTTCGAGCTTCTCCTTAATCCGTGCTTCTCGAGTAGCGACGAACCCAGCCTCGATCTCTGCATCTGTACGAGCAAGGGCTTCTCGCTGGAGCCTCTCTGATCGTTGGCAAAAAACGGATGAGACGGTTGAGAGCAAATCAAGCGGAGCTGGTGGTGCCTCGGGGTTGAGATCCTGACAGGCGTCGGATAGAATCGAATTGGGAGAATCGCAATTCTCGGTCATGGCTGTCTCAAATGTTAAGTAAATTTGAAATTCGAATATGATTAGTGCTGTTCCCGTGTGCGCCTTTCTGTATATATACCACTCGGATGGTCAGCAATTGTGCAGAGGTAAGGCGAAGAACGATGCGCTGTACTACAGCGTATCACTGAACGAGCAGAAGCTTTGCGAGAACATTGCTTGGTGCTGAAACGGACAAAGCCATTGGAACGAACAATTCAAAGGTCACTAAAAGAACCGAATCAGCCTCCTACCAGTTCATGCAGATAAGCCTCACTAACAAGACGGACAAAGAAGTGTAAATCCAGGGCTCACTGTGGAAGACCTAGGTATTGATTGTTATTGATTCTCATTTTCACCCTTTTCCCTGGGTTCGACATCTCTCCACTCTCGAATAGCATGGTATGTCTGAAAACTTCCCACTCTCAACCTATAATGAATAGCCCTTATGCCAGTTCAAATCCACATAAACCCAAATACCTCCTCTTATCTTCCACCTGAAAAGCTGCTGCAGCTCCAGGTCTGGGCGTAGCGAGCCCCGAATCCAAGAAGCAGAGGTGGTCCTCTGGAAATAGCAATAAAAGAATACGGTAGAAGAAAGTAATAACTAATAGCAATCCAAAAACGCCGACTTGTGAGATGCTTCTCCCGGCGATGCGCAAATGACAAAAATCCTGGACGCCGGCTCCATATAGATCCTGTACTGAATGACTGTCTGCTGGCGTGCTTCTGTGAGCCGCATGCCGAGCTCCGTAGCGCCTGGAATCCAAATATGATAGAGATAAGACATGAGATCGTTAAGATCTCCGAATGGTATGGTACGTATCATTGTATAAGTCATGACGCTTTGCTACGAGTTTCATCGTCCACAGCTCACGAGGATGCGTGCGAAGGTACACTGCGTGGTGTGACATCACCGCTTCGACGACGTGTCGACTGCTGATAAGACTGTAACGTCTTGCTGTTGGCTTCAGCAATCATTTGTTGCTTCTTGCGCACAGCTGCGAGTCGCCCTGTGATCATCTTGATCACTAATGTCTTATTAGCCCTCGTCCAGAATGACAGACTCGTGTATGACTTACTCTTTCGAACATGGGCCTCCTCGTCGCTATCAAGTTCACCACCGCTAGTTTCCTTGACAGCATCTCGCTCATCTTCTTTGCCCGTCGACAACCTTCTTGCGTCCGAACCTGAATCGTCATCGTTGTCCAAAACAGCCTCAAGCATTCGAATGGCCGTGATGTACGAAATCTCGCATCCGGAGAGGTTCTCATTTGTAACTTCGTCAATTGCAGCAGCGCGACTCATCTCGAGTGCCCGGTCGTACATGAGCTTCTCAGCGCTTAGTCCAGGGGTCAAGTAAACCTGCTTGGTCGCGCCACCTGCAGAGGAAGCGATCGATTCGGTTCCGTGGTTAGATGGGTGGCTGGGATGGTCTTCAGGCAATTGCTTCTGCGCTTCCGTGAGCTTCATACGGACGATTTCCGACTTCTCCAGCACCTCGTTAAATCGCTGTCGAACCCACTGAACCACTGCATTTATGCGTTGAACAATGCTCTGAGCAGCAGCAGCCGATAGGCCGGTGCCTGTCTCTCCCCGGCTCTTTTTGGACCACCAGACACTAGCTATGTCCATGGCTCTAGCGAGAAGAGTGAGCGACTTCACATATAAAACAAGAGCCTCCTCTGAGAGAGAAACGATTGCTTCAACTGTCAAGCCGTCTTCCTCATTTTCCAATTGTTCAGGTTCAAAACCGCCCAAAATATGATCAGCGGACGGCGCTAGAGGAACAAGCTGTTTATACTTGACTTCGGCGAAACCGTAGACACAGTCGCTGCGTGTTGCGAACTCTTCAATGACTTGTGCGGCTCGTGCATCCTCGTCGGTTCCGTGACTGTTCTTGCCGTCACCCAAAAGTCCGACTGGGGCCTGAGGAGTTGGATATGTCGGGAAAGCTTGGTACAGGGGAGGCGATGGGCCCTTTGGTGTACCACGCAGAGGCGGGACCTTGAAGCCAAAAAGGCGCAGGCTGGCGTCTTGGATGGCTTTAGAAATAGCACTAGAGGCTGATCCTGGACTAGCAGAGAGAGCCTTCTCGTACGATGATTTCCGGTCATGGCGGCTCTGGGTCACCAAAGCATTGCGAGAAGACGGAGTGGCAATTGCTCCTGATGTGGAAGTGGGTGCGCCTTGTTGAGTATATCGTCGAGTCATGGGTCCTGTTCTTGGAGAGGAAGAGTCACCGAATCGCTCATTCGCTGCCAGTTCATCGGCCAGAGCATTGACCTCAACATGCCGTCTCTCAACAACTACATATTCTCGCTCCAAGGCAACATCTTGCGCCGCCTTCTCCTCTTCTGTAATTGATGGATTGCTCAAGGCTCTGTCCCTGCGTGCCTGGTTCAGAAGAGATGTAGGAGGTGAGGCCCCATCCCGACCATTTCCCCTATCCTGGATACGTTGCTGAACCGGAGCAGTCGCTGCGTGGTGCGCAACTGGGCGGCGAATTCCAAGACCCTCACCGACCTCGCGAGGAGAGTTTCCCGTTGGTCGTTGACTGTCATGCGATTGCCGAGAATACCGACCTTCTCCCGGACTTGCTGCTTGTGGCGACCTTGAGTGCTGATCTCTGGGAGACCTCGAAGCAATGCTGTCTCGTGGCGATTCGTAACCGGTTTGTCGGGGACTTCGTGACGATAATGAAGGCGAGCCCCCATGAAAAGCTGACCTCACCTCCCGAGGTTCTTGCCTGACTGGTTTTGGAATATCATCCTCTACTAAGCCAGGGATTTCGCCCGTAACAACCTGATGTGCGAAGAAGTTTTCGAAGCTCAGTCGCTCGACAGGACTTCTCTTGAGTAGACTTCGAATTAGAGCTTTCAGGTCGGCACTGATAGTCACCTCCCTTGGGAACTTGATAACATCCTCGGCAGCTTCAATCTTACGCAGCAGTTCGACATGGTTTCTAGCCCGGAACGGAGGGCGACCTGTGCTCATTTCATAGAGCACAGTTCCCACTGACCAAAGATCGGCTTTCGCATCATATCGCTCGTATCGGAGAATTTCTGGGGCCATGTACAGGGGGGATCCACAAAGGGTATCAGCCAGGGAAGTGGAGGGAAGCACACGTGCGAAGCCGAAGTCGGCAAGCTTGAGCATAGGTAAAGATGCTAATCCAGCGATAGGGATCAGCGAGTCTTGGCTGGCTTGCATGACGGGGCGACTTCTTTGGTCCCTGAAAGGTCGTGAGGGTAGCAGTAGCAGATTTTGGGGCTTGACATCTCGGTGAACGTAGTTCTTGCTACGTAGGAACTCGAGGGCACTAGTCAGCTGTTTCAAGAAATGTCGAATGACAACCTCATGCAACCCGGAGTTCGGCGCACTTGGATACTTGCGGGCCATATCATGCGTAGCAGGATGTGTGGCGAGCTTCTCTCGTTTCTTGATGAACAGGGATAGATCACCAAGCTCGCAGTATTCCATAATTAAATTAATGTGGCTTGTCGACTCGAGACAGTCATGGAGGGCGACGATGTGTGGGTGGCGTAATGTCTTGAGTATTTGTATTTCGCTGTAGAGGTTCTCTCGTAGCTTCTTGTTCAGACGCTCAAGCTCGACGGATTTGATGGCAACGGCAGCCTTAGTGTCCTTTATCAAGATGGTTAGTGGTTGTCTAGGATAGAGTATGATATGAATTGCTTTGTGACTTGTGGTACCAAAAGTAGGAGTTTGACAAGCCACTCCAGTCATGTAGCAGCAACAAACAAGCAACGCAAGTTGGTACGATGACAGAGAAGCAAGTCAAAACAAAGATGGGAGCTTTGTCGTACCTTATGCCAACCCAAATACACTTGAGCAAAACTACCCTTCCCAATCTCTGAGCCGATGTTAAATTGTCCTACTACAGCACGACTGCCCGACTTCCTGGACCCCGAGGAGGTCGAGGACTCCTGCCGGGCCGCCATGGCTTCCTGGTTATTGTTATCGATGGCAGGAAGACAGTCGGACTGCGTTGCAGCCCTAAGGCTTATAAAAATCGGGTGAGGTGTGTGTCGCAGAGCAGGTCGTCATGTAATCGATAGAACCAAGCTGTCGCAAGCGCCGATGGGTGTGATGGAAGAGGCGAGAAGGGACAGAGGAGGATGTGGATGATTATCAACCACACGGAAGGCGATAAACGAAAGGTCAGAGGCGAGAACCTGCGCTGATGGTTGGTGAAGTATCAAGTGGTCGGTGAGGACGAAGGACCCCTATGGGTGGACGGCCGAAGACGGATGGGATAAGACGAGACGAGACAATACTACCCGACCTTAGCTCAGAGGCAAGGTTGAGAGGTAGGTAGGTAGGTAGTAACTAGGTAGGTATCCGAAAGGGTGCGTAGAGTATAGACGGTACTTGACTCGCTGCGCGCCTGCACTGCTATATCGAGCCAAACACGAGAGTTAGTGGATGTGTATTGGTAGAACAACTGATGGGATTCGAGGCCAAGGGCTCGTTCGCAATGAAGAAAGAAGGAAGAAGAGAGGACAAGAGGAATAGAAAGGGACGGACGGGAGAAAGACGAACAAGAAGCTACGGGGGTTGCGTGTGACAGCAAGCGATGGTGACGGCACGAGCAATGGCGATCACGGCCTGGGATTGGATTGCACGGGTATGATCCAGCGATTCTTCACTTGCCCTGCCTTGCGTTGCCTTAGAGGCTACAGCCTACAAGCACAGCCAGCACCCATAAGAGAAGACCCAGAGTCATTGCCAGATGGGGCTTGCTGGGGTGCTTGATGCTGGTGCGACAGGGCAGGATAAGGATAGTGAAGGACAGAGAATGCGACGGGATAGGAATAGGCAGGGTACCATACCGTACTGTACCTAGGACTAACTGGACGCTATCCTGACACTGACTGGATGGATACCGATAAGCCTGGCAAGCCCGGGGGGTATGTTAAAGGCCAGGCCAGGCCAGGTGACTAACGCGGCACTGAAGCGAAGCTTTGGTCCTTTGGGAA